ATCTCATGAGATATTTGTAATACCCATCGACCAAGTCGAGTGTACTGTTCTTCGTACATCCGACCATGTTGTAACATCCTTCCTGCCGGAATGGTGGAGGCGTTGAGCTTATTGTAAGCATAAAGATACGCCACTTGCCGTTAGGCTTCCGAACACAAAACATGGGGAGGCCTAATCTCACGTACCATCCCTGCGTCGTGCTTCGCACGGAAAAAGACGTCAATGACGTCGCACTGCTCCTTGGGCAGGGACCATTGGCGTGTTACGCAGTATTTGGTTCCCGGAACCAGATCGAACTCATGACGCACACATCGATCCGGAGGTTGGACCGAAGGCGGGTCTTTGGAGACGACGTCTTGATATTCCTTTACCAAAGGATTGTACGGATCCAAGGGATTCCGTAGGATCGACGACCCACATCATGCGTTCAGCACTCTCATGGTGTCTTCCAAGACAGCTTCACTCAGAAGCGACGACGAGTTTATCTCCTCGTCCGGTCGTATAGTGACCGCTTCGGCCAAATCGCCTGCCTTCAAGGCAATACCGAACTCTTCAAGGGACACCTCGTCTAGCTCAAGAAGAGCATCTGCTGCAGGCATAGCCTTGAGGCGGACGTCGTCATCTTCCTCCCCCGTCATACCGTTGACGAGAGTGTATAAGTGTGCACCATTGTCTACGGTAAACACACCGTGGATCAGGGTCGACGCCCGGCGTCTTGCAGCCTACAAACGGCGTCGCCGTCACCTCTGTACAGAGGTTCCATGTCTCGGTGAGACCAGGGTGAACACGCATTTCGCGTCGTCCGGTGTCACCCTCACTGTTCGCTTCTTTGGATGTTATCTACAACATTCGACGAAGGGCTGCTAACCCCGCAGTCTTCGTCCAGTGGATAACGTGCCATTCCAAGCGCATCTCAAGGGCCGCGCCCAAGATGCCTCGGACTCTGTCCAACCATGCCATCAATGGCATGCAGCGACGGCTTCGCAACAAGAGCAGTGCTCAGTTGTTTACGTGCCACTTCACGGCATCACGGGGGCCTCGCCCTCGATGCCTCGGCCCTTGGCCGACCAGGACACGCATGACATGTAGCGACTGCTCCGAAACTTGAGCAACGCTCAGTGGATTACGCGCCACTCCAATCAGCCCGCGAGTCGCACTCGAGACTACTGTCCGATACACCGTTGGTGTCTATCAACTCGGACATTCCAATGTCCAGTACGTTGACCGCCTCGGTCCAGTGCTCTCGCCAATAGCGCTTTTGTCTCATAGCAGAGGTGGTTTCATAACTCGCCAAAGCTCCACCAGCCAAGGTCTTTGATCTCCTATCAATCCATGGATCATGGTGTTCCAACCATGCCATTCCTAGGATGAGGTGATACCTTGTATCCAAGTCTGAAACTTGACAGCGTTCCACGCTATCAAAGTCAAGGAACTTGACTACGAGGTCCACAGGGACTTTCGGGACCGTGACACATGTCCCCGTCGCTAGGCGAACAGTGACGATGTCACCCAGCCGCGCATTCAGCGCCTCAGCATACAGCTTACTTCTGTCCATCGTGAAACGTCGAGAATAATTGCCGGACGCCCCAGAATCAATGAGGATCTTCCATGGCTTCTCGAAGCCCTTTACGGTCACCTCTACGACCAGCAAGCCTGGCTTGCATACACGTTCCGTGTTCAAGAGCACGGAGCTCTTCGGGGCTGGGCCCTGATTATCCCTCCGTGAGGCTCAACAAATATCAGTTCTTCCCCAGTAGGTCGCCCCGTGCCTACTGGGTGGTGTCGTTTACCCACGACTAACCAGACTGGTAGCCATTGGGGCGATGGTGTAAAGAACCTTGACGCGCCTTGCGCAGGGGGCAACCGTTCCGCAGGTGACGAATGTCTCTCCTGAAAAACACCGTTGTGTGTTTGTGTTCTACCCAGCAGCTCGGAGCTCTGCTCCTCGTCCTCAGCGTAGCTGAGATCCATGGGCATTGGTCCGCTCGACGAGCTGTTGGAGTGTGCATTCCAACCAAGTCGTGTCGACTTGAAATTGAATTCGGCATTCAATGCCACATTCACCGCCTCTTCAAACAAAGACGGATGCACATAGAAGACTTCCATTCTGGTCACGCCAGTGCTGAGGCCTTCCATAAAGACGGTCACTGTGACTGCCTCCGGAAGGGGATTTGACGCCATCCCGACAATAAGAGTGCGCATCTCTTGGGCAAAGTCCACCGATTCCTTGTTGCCCTGTCGGGCGGCAAGGTAGCGCGATTGTACGCGATATGCCTGGTTAGGCGGCGAGAACACTCTTGGGAGCTGCAATTTCAGCTCCACCCAGGAGGGAAACGCAGCTTCTACCGAAGTGCCGCACGTCAGTGCCCTTTGTCGCGCTCTACCACCAAGCTTTGAGATGGCTAGCGCCACGCGCTGTTGCTCGGTCTGGAGCATGGCG